TTTTTATCAAGAGCTCACCAGGCCCTGGGTGGGTAGCCCAGTTGGTTAGAATGTCTTCCCAATAAGCCAAGGATAGGGGTTTGATCTCCAGTCAGGGCACATACAAGAATCGACCACTGCCCTGGCTGGTGTGGCTCAGTGGATTGAGCGCTGGCCTGAGAACCAAAGGGTCGCTGGTTCGGTGCCCAGTGTAGGGCACATGCTTGGGTTGCAGGCCAGGTCCCCAGTAGGGTACACGTGAGATGCAACTACACATTGATGTTTCTCTCCCTCTCTTTCTCCATCCTTTTCCTTCTTTAAAAGAAGAAGAAGAAGAATCAACCACTGAATGCATAAATAAGTGAAACAACAAGCAAATGTTTCTCTCTCTCTTCCAAAAATCAGTATGTTAAAAAAGAGAGTTCACCAGATGTCAGGGATGGTTCAAACAACTGTGGACACAATAGCAGACCAAACACATCAGCGACTGGCTCTTGTAGCAGGAAAATTTAATAAAGTGTGAAGGGAAGGACAATGTCAAATCGTGTCACCCACAGGACAGGCGCTCATTCAGGCTGTCCCTTTAATTCCTTCAGTGGAAGTCTAACATTTTCCCTGAACTGGTGTTCAGTCGTTCATTCCTCTCCGCTGTTGGGCCCCCTCCTGCGCAGAACCTGGGCCGTGCCCCCAGCTGCTAGCCATCACTGAACTGAAACCCGTCTCCTTGTCAGTGTCTCCGGAGACAGGCACTTCCTGTGACCCACACTGGTCCGTTGCTTACTTCCCCACATCTACTCAACTTGAACTTACTGCAAACCCCTTACCAGAAATGCAATACTTTTTTTTTTTTAATCCTCACCTGATGATGTTTGTGTTGATTTTAGAGAGAGAGAGGAAAGGAGGGGGAGAGAGACAGAGAGACAGAAACATCGACTGGTTGCCTCCCACATACGCAACCAGGAATCAAACCCACAAGGTTTTGGTTTATGGGATGACGCCCCAACCAACTGAGCCACCCAGCCAGAATGAAAAGTGGTACCTTTTCTGGTTTGATTCTGAGATGCCTGCAGCTATCTGGGAAGGAAGCTCCTCCCTTCCGCAATGGTCTATTTGAGTAAAGCTTCTTCTCTCTCTCTGCATTGGTTGTTGTTTGACATCTCCATAAAGTTCTCGTGAGTTCTTCATAGATTAATTCCTAGATACCTTATAGCTTTTATCACTTTTGGGAAGATTATCTGATTTTCTGTTCATTTCCCAATGGGTTATAGAAAAATGCTATTGATTTTTAAAACTTGAGTTATGATTTCAAATGCCATAAAATCCATCCTTTTAATGTGTACAGGTCAGTGGTTTGTCGTGTATTTGCGGGTCTGTGCAGCGGCCACTGCAATCTAACTGCAGAACATTCCATCGCTGCCTGAAGAAACCCCATCCTGCCGGCAGTGGCCGTACCTGCTGTACCTGCTGCCCGCCCCCAGGCCCTGGCAACCACCGATTCCCCTCCTGTCTGTGGCTTTGCTGATTCTGGACATTTCACAGAAAAATGGAATCATGAAGTATGTGGCCTTCGTCTTTTTTCACTTGGCATATGCTTTCAAGGTTTGTGTTGTAGCATGGAAAGGTATTTCATTCCTTTTTTTAATCCTCACCCAAGAATACTTTTATTAATTTTAAATGGGGAGAGAGGGAGAAAGATTGGCTGTCGCCTCCCACATGCCCAGAAACTTGATGTGATTAATGGATCCTGAGATGATCACCCAATCTAATCACAGGGGCCTTTAAAAGGAGAGAACTGTTCTGGCTGGTGTGGCTCAGTGGATCGAGCACCAGCCTTCAAACCAAAGGGTCGCTGGTTCGATTCCCAGTCAGGGCACATGCCTGGGTTCCCCAGGTCCCCAGCGGGGGGTACGCGAGAGGCAACCACACATTGATGTTTCTCTCCATCTCTTCCCACCTCCTTTCCCCTCTCTAAAACTAAATATTTACTTTTAAAAAGTAAATAAATAAAAGCAGAGAGCCTTTCCCAGCTGTACCGATGGAGGAAACTTGCTGGCCGTGAAGGCGAAGGGAGCAGCCGCGAAGGCTGCGTCTACAAGCTGGAAAAGGCAGGGAAACCGTCTCTGTTCCTTCAGAAAAGAGTGAATTTTAGCTGAGGAGGACCCAGGGCCCACTTCTGACCTCCAGAACTGCAACAAATTTATCTTTTTAAACCACCAAGTTTGTACAATGTATATAGCCACCATGGAAAACCAATCCACTGAAACGCAGAAGCCAAAGTCAGTCCAAAGGAGATAAGGCTCCGTCAGCCCGGCTCAGCCTTCGCGCCCTAGCGGAGAGTGGCTTCCGCAGATAAGACCCCCTGGTTAAAGGGTGGGTGGTGAGGCTGGAAGTCCAAGATCGAGGTGTGGGCCGCCACAGCCTGGCGAGCACCACTTCCTGACTCACAGACGGCTGTGTTCTAGATGCACCCTCCTGGGGCGGTCGGGCCGAGGACACGGTGGGAACAGCTCTGCGGGGTCCCTTTTGTAAGGGCACCAATTCCATCCATGAGAGCGCCATTCTTCTGACCTAATCAATCACCTCCTGAGACCACTTCACTGGAGGACAGGTTTCACCTTATGTATCTTTTTAGCTTTTAAATAGATTTTGAGAGAGAAGGAAACAGCGACTCATTCCCCTTACTTATAAATTTACCGGTTGATCCCGGCATGCGCCCTGACCGGGGATCAAGCCCACAGCCCTGGTGTATCGGGACGACGGTCTAACCAACTGAGCCGCCCGGCCACCCGTGAATTCCGAGGCGACACTTTCTGGCGGCAGCAGTCGCTCTCTGGTCCCTCTGGACCCTGGAGGGGGGCCCCGCTGGCCTGCGAGGCACAGCGGGCAGACCCTGCTGAGCGGGCCGGCCGCCGCCCCACCCCTGTGGAGACCAGCAGGATGCAGGCGGGATGAAGCCGCCTGGGAGGACCCTCGCCCTGGGGTCGGCCACCCAAGGCCACCTCCCACCCTTCTTGCCAGTCCCAGGGCACCGTGTGGTAGGAGCAGGAGAGACACGAGACCCACAGGCTTTTTAAAATAACTGCATCCTTTAATGGCAGTAATACAATTATTGGATTAAGAGACCACAGGAGAAAGGGCAGGTGACGGTTCTGGAAGACAGATACAGAGTACAAAACGGGGTGGGGTAGAGGCATGCGACGATCATTGTAAAAATACAGTACGTTATATACATATTTGCACCATCAACTTTCAACTCTGAAATAGTATTTACATTTTTGTTACAATCCTGGTTAGAGAACAATTTTTCTTTAAAAGCTCGGCCTGATGGCAAATGAAAATCTTGGGTGAATTCATAGTCCCATGAGGTTCTTAGGCTGAATATCCAAGAGGAGGGTTCCAGCTTCTATTTCATCCACAAATTCCCATTTAAAAAAAGTACTGAATTTGCTTTTACAAAAGAAAAGTCTCCGAGAAAAAAAAAAAAAAACCCACAGCCACACTGCGTATTCTCACATATCGTACAAACACCAAGGGCTGCAGCCCTCTGCTCAAGGCCAACACTGGTGGCTGAAGAAAAATCTCATGTTTAAAAAAACAGAACAGAAATGACAGAGACAAAGCAAACCAGCCCGGGGCTGACGCGCCGGCCCGGGCCGGCCTCTCCCACCTGCGCTTCCGGCCCCAGGCGCAGCCGTCCGTTTCTGGGGAGAGGGGTTTGGCGCGGCAGCCTCGTTCACTTCCCTCCCGAGGTGCTGACACACGGAGCCCTTTGGCTGGGTTGCCCCGTTTCCTTGCTGTCAGCATAGGACGGGCCTTAAGCAGGAGGTTGAAGTGGGAGAATGAGGTGACAGGCCGGAGAGGCGGCCAAGGACTGACACAGGTGGGAGGCCCCGTGACACGGGCCTTGCCCAGCCCCCCCAGGAGCTCTGTGCACAAGGCTGGGCCTCAGCCGGGGGCCTGGGGACGTGGGCGCTGGCGTCTCTGCTCCCTCCCCGGCTCGGTCAGGTGAGGGGAGCAGGACGCACAGGCCCCACGCTGCCACGGCTTCTCTCCGGCCCTCCCCTCAGGCCCTTTTTATGGAAGTGCCCACAAATCCAACCACCCGACACACCTCTGAACCCCAAACCTGTCACTTAGAAGCAAGGACATCGAACCCATGGGCCCTGAACATACCGTGAGGCGGGGCGAAGCGAGCGGAGGGCAGGAACACTGCCAAGAGCCAGCCGGGGCCCCGTCAGGAGCCTGGGGGTGGCCACACCACGGATCCTTGAGCAGCCCCCAGAGGCACCAGGGCCAGCACCCTGGGCGCGCTAGCTTCTGAGGACCAGGACAGCCCCTGGTCTGGGGGAGAAGGGCGTGGCCACGAAAGGGCCGGACGGGACAGGACAGGAGCTAATACTGACAGAAAACACGCGACCTGTGGAGGCTGCCTCCTGGAAGCAGCTCCGGGCCGCCCCACACAGGCCCTGCCGCCTCCGGGCCCATCTCTGGCCCTGGAGTCTTCTGACGAGGGCCCAGGGCCCAGGGCCGACGACGACCTCCGGACAGAGGGTGACACAAGGGCTGTGTGCGAATCCACGCGAGGTGGCAGCGGGAGAGGGCGGTCTCTTCCAGCCCAAGCAGATCCCCAGGGCTCTTTTCCTTTCTTTCTTGGACACTTTTTCACCCCCCACCCCTCACAGTGGGTCCTGCCAGTGCTGGCTTGATCCCGCCTCCTCACGCCACGCGGTCCACAGTGCTCAGCGCCTGCCGTGTTCCCTTTGTCCTGGTGGGGGCAGGGACGGGGAAGGGAGGAGGGGCCAAGCTGTACCCAGAAAACCCGCCAAACCCCCAGTTTTCAAGGAGTCCCTCAAAAATTGGGCCAGCCACAGTGCCAGCTGGGGGCTTGCTACTGTTCACATGCACAAGTAGGTTTTCCTGGCGGGAGCCCAGGGGCACTGACCAGAACTGAAGATAGTTATATACAATTTATACGTTTTAAAAAGAAAGGACTACGAGAGAGAGCGACAGAGAGAGCGAGCGACAGAGACAGAGAGAGAGAGAGAGAGGGAGGGAGGGAGGGAGGGAGAGGGAGGGAAGGAGAGAGATGGGAAAGAAAAAAAGAAAAGCAGGAAAAAAGTAAGGAACACCCAGACCGCCCCCCGAGTTCCCAACTCTGGTCGCTGCACTTACATACCGCCCTGGGAAGGGTGGGGTGCAGGGAGCACTCGACTCCAGCCTAACACTACTGGCAAAAGGGGGAGGCAGTGGGGTCAAAACCTTTAAAAACATCTTTCAGGGACCCTGCGTCCTGCTCGCCTTCACGGGCCGGGCTGTTGCCAGCAAATGGGCTCCCGGAGCCTGTTTTAGGCGCCTGTTTCACAGTCCCGAAGAGGGTGGGCACCGGCAGGTTGTGCACGCCAGGCTGGGGCGTGGCGCCCTCTGGTGGCGGGGCGCCTGCAGCGGCAGCCGGGGCCGAGGCGGCCTTGGGCCGCGGCCGGTTGTAACTGTTGTATCTGTCCGTGGCTGCGGTGGAGCCCGCGTCCGCTCCGGACTTCCCTGACTCAGGCTGCTCCAGGGCAGACTTGCGGACAAACGGGGGCTCCTTGGCCTTGGCAGCCGAGCTCTTGCCGTTGCCCTCGGGGCCCTTTGGCTGGGCACCCGCATCGGCGGCGGGCTCGGCGGCTTTACCACCCGCGTTGGGAGTCCTGGGGTCGTAGAGGCTGATGCCGCTCAGCACGCTGCTCTGCCCACTCCCGCTGCCCTGGCCCAGCCCGCCAGCCGCCAGCACCCGGGGATCATAGGGGGCAGTGGCTGGGGGAGAGGACTCCCCACTGGGGCTGGCAGCTGGAGAAGGAACTTCGGCAGAGCCAGGCTTGGCAGCGCGGGCGGAGGCAGCAGAGTCTGCCGTTTTCTGCAACCGAGGGTCGGTGGGGGCCTTCCGTACCCGGGGGTCACTGGGCTTGTCGCTGGGGCCGGGGGCAGCAGAGGGGCCTGCGGCATTGACAGTCTTGAGGATGCGGGAGAGGAGCTCAAAGTCAGGCAGGGTGGAGCCGGAAGAGCCAGGGTCCGCGGAGGCGCCTGGGCGCGGGCGGGGGTTGGGGGGGCCCGCAGCGGCAGCCCGATGCAGCCTGGGGTCCAGGGCAGGCATGGACTGCAGGGCCGCGGGGACAGGGGGTACGGCGTCCTGCTTGGGGATGGGCAGGGGAATCAGGTCCTCGGGGTTCCAGAGCACGGTGCGGGCGAAGCTCGGCTTGCTCAGGGTCACGTCCTTCTTGATGTGGCTGAACTGCTGCAGCTGCGACCGCGGGTCCCGCAGCGGGTGTCCTGGGAGGGGGTCCAGCGGAATGTTCACGGCCTTCTCCCGCAGGGCCCGCTCCCCTTCCTCCTCTTCTGCGAGGGGAGGTCCGGACCCCTTGGAGCTGCTGGGGCCTGCAGGGTTGGAATGAAGGCCGCCTTCGGGCTTGGCGGCAGGCAGGGAGCGAGCCAGCCGAGGGTCGGAGGGCCCTGTGTCGCCTGGGCCAGGGCCGCCAGAGGCCTCAGCGTGGCGGGTGAGTCTGGGGTCCCGACTGAGGCGGGGGTCAGCTAGCCGGCCTCCCGTGGGGTGTCCCTTCTGGAGGCGAGGATCCCCCAGCCCACTGCCGCTCAGCTCCCCGACAGGAGCCTGGGGTCGGTTGGATGTCTGCTGTCTCAGGGTCTTAAGGATGGAGGTGACGCTGCTCCCACCCTCGTCCTCGTCACTTGAGTACCAGTTTCCAGTGTCACCTGAGAAAGAGCAGAGGAGCAGGAGGGTGAGTGCCCACCGTACCCACCAGAGGCCTCTCGGAGCCCACGGCAGCCCGCCAGGTGCGCGCCTCCTCTGCCTCTCACCGCTCAGGACCTGTTTCTCCTAAGAACCCCCGCCCCCGCGGGCGGCCACGAAGAGCCAGTGAGCCCCGGCCGGCCAGGTACTGACCCTGGCAGCTCCCTGGCTAACATGGCCAACAGTCCTGGACCCTTCCCCGTGTGTCGGCTTATTAATTACCACAGCCGCCCAGGAGGCCGTGTTAGTATCAGGCCCACTTGACAGATGAGAAAACGAAGGCATGAACGGGGCCCTGAGATGGGGGCAGAGACGGGACCGAGCCAACTTCAAGCCTAGGGCGCCGCCACCACCTCATCCCTGGGCGGACTCGGGCCCCAGGGTGGCAGCCTGTGAGCAGCTACCACTGACTAAGCTCTCGCTACGCCTGGGGCTCACAGACACTTGCCCCCAGGCCCCCGAAACGTTACCACGCTCCAGGGAAGGGCAGTCACCGGCTAAGAGGTGGGGCCAGGAGGGCAGACACAGAAACTAGCCCAATCCAACCTCCTAGCAGATAAAACCGGAGCCACCAGGAGAGGGGGCTGCCCCTTCATCCCGCTGTTCCCACTTGCTCCCGGGCCTCTGTCATGGCCACCGTGGCCTCTGGCTTCAGATGATGAACACAGTCTGTCCAGCCCGTTTCACCCTGGTGGGTGCCACCAGGTCACACTGCACAGCCCCATGCAACTTGGCAGCTGTGTGCGACTTTGATCACCATCTACCATCTGCTCCAGGGACCAGCCCCCTCCCCTTCAATGGGGTCAGGTCTCTCCTGACCCCCAAGACACAGAAGGGCAGCCCTGACCTCCGGTTTCCTCAGGGACATGCAGCAGCCCCAGCCTGGCTTCACAGCCCCGAGGCAGGGTCCGCCCTGGCCACAGGCTCCGTTCCGGCGCGACACCCGATCTAGGTATTCCCCACCTCGCCCCTGCACGGCGGCCGGGACGGGGGCTGCGCCCATCAGAGAAAGCCCCTGCCCCCGGGGAGGACACGTGCCTTCCTCATTCTCCCGGTCCTGCTTGCTGCTCTCAGCCAGCCTCCTCGCTCTCTCCTCCTCCTCCTGCTGCTTCTGCTGGATCCTCAGGTACAGGGCCCTCTGGGCTGAGGGCAGGAAGTCGGGGACACCGGCGCCCGGCTTCGGCCGGCCTGGGGGCCCTCCCTCAGGGAAGCTGTCGGGCTCCAGAGGGTGCTCGGGGAAGAGGTGCTCCCCAGGCTCCCCCGGCAGCTCTTCGTAGTGCCCGTAGTCCTCTGTGGCAGGGAAGAACCGAGGGTCGTGTCGGGGAAGGCCTCGGGGCCTCAGCTCCAGCCCACCCAGACCTCAACTGCAGAGCCGCCCGCGGCTGTGGCGATGCGCCCGCCCCTTCCTGCCCTCCCGGGGGCCCAGGAAGACCCCACAGTGGGGACTTCCAGGATGAGGATGGGGTGCACAGTGAGATTTAGTGACACGGGCTGATGCTCATGACATGAAAACAGGACGGAATATCAAACAGATGTTTATAAAATGCAAAGAGGCGGCTTCAGAAAGACAGACAGAAAACGGTCTCTTTGGAAATGAGAGTCGGGGTAGAAGGGCAGAGATCTGTTCACTTGTTTTACTCCACACACTCTGACATGTTTTAATTATTTGCCACAAGCACCAGTTTTATGGTTTGTTTACAATAATGAAAAAGACGACATCACCTTGTTTTAATCACTGGGAATAAGACTAAGAAAGAAAGTATACACCGAAATGTTGGTACAGCCGCTGTCGAACCAGAAGCTCACCACGGTTCCTCTCTCCCCTTGCCTCTGGGTTTCTGAGCTGTTCTACTTGGGGAGGGGACGGGGCACAGAGGGGCAGGGATGAGGGACCTGGAGACAGACTCTCTCTCTCTCTCTCTCTCTCTCTCTCTCTGTGTGTGTGTGTGTGTGTGTGTGTGTGTCTGTCTCTCCCCCCCAATCCCTTGCAGAGACAGAAGACCTCTAGTTAGTGCTGCCCCACAGAGTGTCGCAAGGATGAAACAAGCCACACAGCCAGCGCAGTCCTCACGGGCCCAGTGAGCAACGGCAATGTGGCCAGGACTATCAGGACAGTGACTCTGTAACGTAATTCAAATTTAATGTACAGGGTTCAAATTATTAAATGGGTAAATGCTTCATATACAGAGCATAAAGCAAAAAGTGAAAAGTGACTGTCTTCTAGTCCCTGAACGCTGTAACGTGACCTTGATGGGCAAGCCTGGCCTAGGCCACGCCCTGGCTCGGGGCTGGGGACACTCGGTGAACAGGCCCAGTCCCCCACCCGCAACTTTTCCTCCAGAGTGACTCCCTCAATGGCTGTGACCTTGTGAATACAGTAATGTCTCACTTAACATTATGGATAGGTTCTGTGACTTTAAATGAAATATAACGAAACCAATTTTATCAGAAGCTAACTGATCCAAAAAACCTACGAATGTACCTCATCAACATCACAAAGGAGCGACATTGAATGAAACATTCTCTGAGGACGGGCTGTAGAGGAAAACCCACGGAACGTGCATGCGCTCTAAGGGGCAGCTGCCAAGGCAGCAAGCGAGTGAGCTACTCCAAGGCACGCTGTGTCAGCAGCCAGACAGACCTGCTTTCCTTCCACACCCGGACCTGTGGCCGGCACATTCTACGTATGTTTTCAAAGGTGGCGGGGGGGGACTGTGGGAACAACATCACCCCCTCAAGCAGCCCGCTTTTCTCACTTGGGAACACGTCACTCATCTTTCTAAATCCCCTGCTCCTCACCCCAAACACCTGCTCTCATGACTTCAAACATCATCTAGACGCCAAATGCGCCCACGCTGCCTCCAGCCGGCTTGGCTCCGACGCCCCCACCATGTCCGCAAGGCCGTCGAACGGGCACCTCGCACTTCCCGCGGCCAAAGCACAAGCAGCAGGACTTCCCGGTCCGGGAGGGCAGCAGCACTCGCAGAACGGCCGCGCCCCACGGCCAGTGGCCCTCCACTCCTGCCCCCCGGGGAACGCGCACACGGGGCGTCACGCCGGTCCCATGGCCCCATCTCTAAACTGAGGGGCCGGCCTGGCTTCTCCCTGCCGCCTCCCGGCTGCCACCCAGCTCGCCTCAGCCAGGGTGACTGCACTGCCCACCACCACACACTGTCCCCTCGCGTTCCTCCACTCACAAGCTGTCACCTTTCCAAGGAGGTCACCTCCCCATGGCACAGTCCCCACGCTGCGACTCCTCTCCCTTGTCCTCCCCCTCTGAGGCACACACTGCCTGCACTTTTCTCAAACGAGGTGACTGGCTGGGGCCGCTGCCCGGCCGCGCCTCCCCCCTCCCTTCCTGCTCGCTCCCCGTTTCCCCTCAGAGCCTCTGCCCGCCGGCCCCCCGCTGCCAGGCCCTCCTGGCGGCCTTGCCCCACCCCTCTCCCACAGCGCCTTCAGTCACTTCTAGCAACGGTCAGCGCTGCCAGGTACCCCGCACTCCAGTGCAGTGAAGGCCAGGACGTGGCCACGTGGCCAGCTCTGACCCCAGGCCCGGCAGCCCTGGGACACCCCGCCCTGTCCAAAGGCCGCGTGCCACCTTCTGGGGCCGCGGCGTCACTGTCGTTACCGACACATTATTTGAATAAGGAAGGAAGGAGAGGAGGAAGGAAGGCGGTCAGACGTGAGGACAGAACAAGCAGTGTCACGAGGCTGACAGCGGCAGCCCCAAGCCAAGAACTATCTGGAAGGAGGCTGCTTTGAGGAGGTCATTTCAACCTCTCAGCCCCACACCAGCCCACACCTGCCTCTGAGTTCCCGTGCTCCTGACTCCAGGGACAACAAGCAAAATGTCTAAAAAACTAAAATTATGGTGACAATAATCATGCTATTCCTTATGGCCTCAACAGGGTAGTGACTCTGTCATGAGAGACATCCAACCAGTCGTGGGACAGAAATGGAGTAGGATCCATGCTTTCAGAGACGGAGAGGAGAGAAATCGGACCCGTCCCGCTGTCTAAACCCCGCACGTCCCTCCCGCCGCCGCTCCGCCCGAGCCCCGCATACCTGTGTCCCCCATGAGTCCCGGCTCCATCTCCATGCCTTCCTGCTGCTGGTAGTAGTTTTCATAGAAGTTCTGGGCTGGTGGGATAGGGGGCATCATTCCAGAATGCGGGGAGTCTCCAGGGCCATAGGGCATCATTGGGGGGCCGCCAGGTCCCATGGGCGGGCCAGGGTTCATGCCAGGGCCCATCGGCATGTCGGGGTGCATATCCGGGTGCATGTCGGGGTGCATGTCCGGGTGCATGTCGGGATGCATGTCGGGATGCATCGGGCCCCCCATTGGCCCCGGGGGTCCCATATTGGGCCCAGGGCCCATTGGCCCTGGGGGTCCTCCGGGTCCAGGGAACCTAGAAGGAGGAAACGGTGCCTGTGAGAAGGGCTGTAGAGAAGGGTGGGGGCGGTGCCCCCCAAGAGACGTGGAGGCTCCCCTGGTGGGCAGTGAAGGGCTCTAGCCCAGGCCCCCGACCGTTCTGGGGAGGTGGCACGCCGCCCCCGCCAGGCTCAGACAGGCCCCTGGCACTCACCTCACACCCAGCTTCTCGGCCAGCTGTCCCGTGGGCCGAACCACGATTTCAAACAAGGAAGGGATCTTCTTGTTGTACATGTCCTGCTGCTGCTGCAGCTGCTGCGGGGACAGCGGCTCGTGCACTGGCATGGGCATCTGCGGGGGCCCGGGGGGCGGAGGAGGGGGTGGGGGCGGGGGCGGGGGGCCACCCTGCATGGGCCTGCCATTTGGAGAGGTGGGCGCAGGGGGGCCAGGGGGCCGGGGTGGGGTGGGCAGGAGGCCCACACCGGGGGGTGGCTTGGGTAGGGGGTTGATGCCCTGCTTCTTCAGTTCCTCAACTTCCTTCTCATCCTCGGCACCTGCCTCCGCGTCATCAGCCAGCATCTGCAGGTGGGAAGGATAAAGGGAGCGACCGTCAGGACGGGACAGGGGTCAGGCTGGGCAGGCCCCCTGGTGTCGAAGGCCAGATTTACAGAGAAAAACCTGAACTCACAAGACCCTGAGTGAAGGAAGCCTTTACCGCGTAAAGCCGACGACCACGAAGACTCTTTGGCACAAAAATCATCGCCCCACCCCACTGCTGCGTCCCCTGTGACCAGGGGGGAGGGGGAGCCCCTCCTGTGCTGCAGCGAAATACAAGTCACATAAAAGGTGCAATTTCACCACCTTGAAGTGTACAATTCAGTGGCATTAAACACATTCATGAAGTTGTCCAACCATGACCTGTCTAGTCCTACAACTTTCCATCACCCAAAAGAAGCCCCTTACCCATAAGCAGTCACTCACTCCCCATTCCCCCTCCCCCACCCCCTCCTGGCAACTACTAATCTGCTCTCTGTCTCTAGAAATTTCGCAATTCTGGACATTTCATAGAAATGAAACCCTACAATACGGGGTCTCTTGTGTCTGGCTTCTTTCACTCAGCAGGACGTTTTCAAAGTTCACGCATGTTGTAGCATGTGTCATGTTACGGCTGGCTAATATGGCATTGTCCTGTCTGGATTTTAAGGGCCTCTCACTGTACCTGCCCTCAAACCTCAACTCCTCACGGTGACCCACAGGGCCTGACGGCGGGGCGGGGTTCCCGGGTGCCGCACAGCACCTCGGCCGCTGCACGTCCTCCCGGGGAGTCCCAGACCCGTCCACCCTGAGCACCCAGCCCCGTGTCAACCTGCCCAACGCCAGGCTCTGCCCCAGCAGGCACCTCTCCCTCCATTTCTGACTGTGGGGCTCCATGTCCCCCATGGAGGGTCTCTTATAAAAAGGTCAACAGAATGACCATCCAGGTCTCCTGCGTTCACTCACTGCTGGAACCCATTAGCCCCTTCAAAGCACTGCCCGCGCTCTGGGAGCCTATGTGTTGTTGTAGCCGTGTCTGTTCCAGGCTCACCCAGAGGCTGTCAGCTCCATGAGGGCAGGACTGTCTTACACCCTGAGGTAGCCCAGGGCCCAGAGAGGGCCTGGGACGGGGCAGGAGGACAACCTCAGAGCCTGGGTTTGAGCAGAACCTCGTACCGGTGAGGGCCCTGCGCGCAGAATGGCGGGCCTGACCGCTCTCCTTGCAAGGCCTCGTGACGTTGGCCTTCAGCCGGTGTCTGGGAACCTGGGTTTCGAGAGGGTTCCCAGCATCCCATGACTGAGGAGGGCGCTCCTTGTACCTAAACTCTACAAGCAATGTGCTTTCTGCTGGACAACCCCCCTTTCCTTCCGTGAGTCAGGAACTGTGGCATATGCCAGGAAGGGGCTACCTACTTGACCAGCCCCCAAGAAAAACCCCAGGCTCTGAGTCTCTAATGTGCATCCACCCAGGGATGCCGGGGGCAAAGGGGAGATGCAGGTGGCAGTGGAGGGACCTCCTGGTGGGTGCCAGGGAGTTCTCGGAGTCTCTCTCTCCTTATAATCAGCAACGGTATCTGGACCCTGGGACAGCGGAGCACAGAGAGAATTTGGCTTCCAGGGGGATGAAAACCTTGGAAAGCTGATCAGTGGAAAACACCTGTCCCTTCAACTGGCAAACACCTGCCACTCAAGGTGTGGCCTGTGTGGCCTGGTGGCACTAGAGGACCTACGGAGCAGGAGCGTGTCATGCGTGCCCGCTGCACTTGGGGAACCCTGCCCCAGACTAGTCATGCCGGGGTGGGGGGCAGGGCCGTGGTGCTTTCCCGCGGGGGCTGGGGGCCGTCTGCTGCACTGCGCCCACGGTCTGCTCACTTCCCTCCCTCCCAACGAGCTGCCCCTTTCAGTTCCTCTACTGACTGCGCAACTGCTGCTCAGGCCGCGCCCCCCGCCTGGCACAGGCTGCCTTACTCTGTGCTCCCTGCCCACCACTCCCCAGAGGCTGGTGCGCATCAGCTCCTCGGTGAGCCCCTGAATGTCCGCCTGGGGGAGAGCCCCTGGGCTGTCACCCCGATCCTGGCGTGTGATCAGGACCTGCCGGAGGACTGGATCCTGTCTTCTCACCACTGTGTCCCCAGTGCCCAGGACAGTGCCTGGCAGCAACCAGGCACTGCCACGCATTCGGCGGCTAAGTGGGCAGGGCAAACGAACACGACGGGAGCAGCAAGGCGGGCGGCGCGGGATGTGAAGGAGTTAGGGCCGTGACGGCCGACTCTGCTGCTTCGTGTTCCTCTGGTGGGTGTCGCCGGCACACGGCCTGAGCTGTAGGTACCGGCTCCAGCTGGTCACACCTTGCCCACAAGCCTGCATTCCCGCCCAGCCAGGATCTGGGGTGCTGCCCCGGCCCCCCCCCCCTTACCCCCACACCCACCAAACACTGGCCTGAAGCACATGCCCGGCCCTCCCGGGTGGCTCACTCACTTCACCCCTGGCCTCCCTGCCTCGGACGGGCACCCTGCGCTGGCTTCCCATCCGGTGTCCCTGCCACTCTGCACACCAGGAGAGCCACCATCAGTCACAAAGAGGGCTGTTCCCCTGCTCTGCGAGACCCTTTCAAAGGCAACTCAATGCCCTCAGGCGAAAGGCAAAACTTAACTTGGTTATCACCTCACTAAACAGGAACAAGCTCAATCACAACCTCCTCCCCCGGGAGCTGCCACGCTCCCTTCCCATCCCCAGCTCCCGTGCAGCACGCCCCACTCGTCCCCTCCTCGCCAACCCCCGCCCCCACGCCCACCCTTCCTTCAGGTCTCCTGCCACCAGGCTCCCGAGAGCCTCGCGCCTCCCTGGACTAGGTGTGCCCGTGGCAACCACGCAGCACCTCGCTGCGCCGCTCAGCACCTGTGAGCACTGGCCAACGTCCCCTTCTCCACCAGGCCGCCAGCTCTGGGGACCAGGACTGCGGTGATCTTTTCCCCACCGTTCGCTGGCGCTGAGCACAGTGCTGAGCACACAGTGGACACTTAATAAACTCAAGGTTAACAGGAGGACCCGGCAGCTCTCCCGCACAAGCAAACCGTGAGGGCAGCACCGCTCCTGAGCGCTCAGCCCTGGAGCCAGCCTGCATCCAGCCCTGCAGCCTCTCAGCCTGCCCTGCGGCTGGGGCTTCCACCTCCACCCCACGCTGGGCAGGAGTCCCACCTCCCACCCTGCCTGCCGGGGGCTGGAGAACAGCTCCTCCCATCCCAGGACTTAGCCCCCCCACCCCTTGGTCAGACCCCACCATGTCCCAGAGAGGACTCCTCCCAGGACAAACGGCCCCCCTCCGCAACCACGCACTGCCTCCCTCACTGGGTCTCGAGTGCTGCCTCAGCAGCAGGGACTGAGCTGCGCTAGTGCCCGGGACAATGACACGTAAAACATGAGTCACATGTGAAACATGAGAAAACAGAGCTCCTACCAGAAAAGGTGACCCCAAGCAGGCATCCTTCCCCCGGGATGCCGCAGAGGGGCCTCTCCAGCAGCAAGGATGGGCTCCCGGGACCCTGTCCTTGGACGGGACCAGTAGGGCGTTCGAGGCCCCACAGCCCCCCGCCCCCGCCCCCGCCCCCGCCACACCAGGCCCGATTCAGAGTGGCCCCGGGGTCTCCAGGACCACCACATCCAGACACACAAGGCACGCGGGCCAAGGGCTATCAGGACAGTCTTATCAGCTGGTGAAAAATTCTAAACGTGTGCCCCAAACTGGAAACAAAGCAAGTGTTCCCCAGCTGACGGCTGGGTGAAGCCTGCCATCACCTACCCAAGGGAGCACGCTCAGCGACGAGCAGCGATCCACTGCTATCACCCCCTCCACCAGGCGGATGCATCTCAAACACATCGTGCCCAGGGAGAGAAGCCAGATTCAAAAGGCTGTGCAAACATACACACATCTTTAAAACAAACAAAAAACATATACACATTTTTAAAAGCTACATACTGTACAAATCTAGTTACACGACATTCCTGAAAAGGCACACCACAGGGACAGAAAACAGATCAGTGTTGCCGGGGTCTGGAGCCGGGAAAGCGCCGGCTGCAGGGGGTCACAGAGGAGTTTTTGGTGATGGAATGGCTACATGACTGTTTGTCAAAACTCACAGAACTGTACGTTGAACAGGGGCGACTCTACTGGCTACAAACTGTAGCTTGGGAACCTGACCACAAAACAATGAATTGCAACTGAAGGACTTCAGGGTAGAGAACCATAAGGCATGCAACTTACTTTCAAATGATTCAAGAAAAAAATAAACACATACGGATATAAACTGAAGTGAGAACACGTGACAAGGCAAAGGGGGTGATCTGTGGAGGGAGCTCTCTGTGTTGGCCTTGCCAGCCGCTCCCACATAAAAGTCATCACCAACCCCAGAGGCAGGCACGTTCCCAAACTTGGTTGGAAATAGGTGTCCAGACAGACGGCAGGGTTACTGGGTAGCGGGAAAATAAAGCAGAAGCCAAAGAGCACAGGCATCTCGGACAGGGCAGCCGACGCCCAGTGCCAAGTGGCACCAGAGTGCGGAGCGCAGGCCCCGGCCCCGGCCCCAGCCCCCAGCTGTGTGGCCGAGGTGGGAAGGGCGGCCCGGAGCCTTCGTCAGGGTTAGTCCAGGCCCGTCCTCGAGGCTCATGGGAAGTTTTACTTTCTGGCCACACCACCTCGATTCTTGAGTGGTTTTCTAGGTTCTACACTCCGTTTTAACCCACAGAGACTTGACCTAACATAGGGGACGACAGCGATGCTCTCAAACCGTGTGTGGGCAGGAGCTGAAACGGGCCCCTTGTTTGCTTTGGGTTTTCACTCCGGAGCCGGCAGCTGTGCTGTCCCACGCGGTGGCCCTGGCCTTGTGTGGCTACTGAGCGCCTGAGGCATGGCTCTAAGTACCAGATTCTGGAGACCTACTAGCTCCCCAATTTTACTTTTTTCTGTCATTTGTTGCTTGCTAAAATGACATTTTGAACATGAATACATTGAGCTAAATAAGATATGTTATTAAAACTAAATCCGTGTGTTTCTTTTCATGTTTTAAAATGTAGCTACTAGAAAATGTAAAATTAATTGTGGTAACCTGTGATTTACAAGGCTGTCCACTTTACAGTCAGTCAGTATTTCTCTGCCCACATCATATAAACTGTGCAATTATCAGTAAGACCTTTTTATTAAAATTGTGCTGCAAAACTGCTGGGTGGATAGTTAGAAAACAACACGAGGCTACGACGTTTACCATTGGACAGCACTGGTCTAGACGGCAAAATCTGGATGTCCAGAAGGGGGCAGGCCTCAGCCAGATACTGTTCAGGTCTTCCAGGGATAAATGGAGTCCCCCTGACTTTGGCGACTACTTACCCTGTGAAAAAACTCACAGAGCTAGACATCTACTGGAGACAAAACCCCTGTCCTAGGGTAGCAGGCACCACCAAGGGCCTGGCCAAGCCAGAACTGTTCCCACTCCTCTGCCCACGAGGAGCAGGGCTCTCTTCCTCTGCCTGTGCTCAGCTTTCCCCTTAACCCTCAGGCAGCGCTGCCAGCAGCCACTCAGACAGGGCACTCAGCCACGGATGGAGTCACCAAGGCGAATGATGAACTCGATCCTTTCCATTTTTTTAAAAAATTATTTTTATCCTCACCCAAGGACGTTTTTTTCATTGCTTTTAGAGAGAGGAAAGGAGGGAGAGACGTATCAATGTGAGGGAGAAACATCTACTGGTTGCTTTCTGTATGTGCCCAGACCAGACACTGTACATGCCTGGACCAGGGATCAAAACCACAACCTCGTTATGTGCCCTGATGGGGAACTGAACCCTCAACCTTTCAGTTACAAGATGATGCTCCAACCAACTCAGCCACACCGGTCAGGACTCAATCCTTTCTTTCTTTTTTTCTTTAATTATTATTATTTTTCCTCCAATTCCTAAAAAAATAGCCAACTCCTAAAAGCATTTGCAAACTAGGAGGCAGAAGGAAAGCCTCAATGTGACAGGACACATTCTCCCCGATTCCCTTAGATGTATTAGGAAACCAAGGACAGGACCTTAGGTCTCCCCAAAGCCTAAAGACTCTCAGGGAGAACAACAGACACTAGGGTGAGTTTCCAATGTCACCAGATGAGTCTGAAAGTCCTGACACCTCACCTGGGGATGAAGTGTCCCACCAGCCCTGAACCTCCAATTTCCCTGTAACATTTACTGCTTAACAGAACCCTTACAACTTGGATGGAACCATTTGACATTGCTAACAAAACAGAACCCAGCCAAGCCTCCTGCCCTCTCTGTGCGCCGGGGGCTCTCTCTAAAGGACAACTGAGAAACGACAAGATCCGTTTGGAGACACACCAGACATCACTGCTCTTAGGCAGCCGCCCCAGTGAAAACTGCGCTGGCTAGAGATCCGATGCACGTGTGACCACGCCACCTCCCCCCACAGGCAAGAACAGTCCCTGCTGCCTCCTGAAGACAGCCCAGCCCCAGAACGATGCAACTGGGAACTCTGGTCCCGCACACAGGCCAGCTGGCTGCAGAGCCAAGTCGACGGCAAGCACAGCTCCCAGTTCCCGTCAGCTGTGGTCACGCTACCCCTTGACATTACCTTATCCAAGAGCTCTCTCGTCTCCTCGGTCAGAGGGTCGTGGGAGAACATGCAGTCGTCCCCATTGATGCAGTTCCCAGTCGTGTGGTATAACTTACATGGAAAATCACGTTCACAGCAAATTAAGGTAAATGCTTCATCTCATGGAACCCACCCAAGGGCAGAACCCAACCCCCCGTGTTTGGAAGAAGAGCAAACGGAAGCCCAGGGAGGTGAAGCCACTTGCTCAGGGTCGCACAGAGGGTTGGCAGCAGACCCAAGATGAGACCCTAGTTCTCAAGTCTCCTGCTCCAGAGTGCTTCCCGCCCGACCACGCTGGCCTTGGGGCTGTGTCCTTGAATCCTCGCGCAACAGGAACAGGGAAGTTCAGCGAGGGGCACAAGGTTACACCATCAGTTGGAAAAGTCTCAGAAAGGTAACAGGTATTGGTGTTAGGCCAGTCTCAAGAGTATATGTTAAGAGAAGCCAGAACATTCGTGCCTCAGTTTACTCATCTGCAGAATGGGAACGGCAGGCCCGTCACAGGACAGACGTGAGGGTGAAATGAGATGCAGAAGCACAGAAAGCTCCTGACCCAGCGCTGGCAGGGAGGGCATGAGCAAACGCGGCGGCGGTCGGCTCTCATTACCAACAAGGAGGGAAGTTCTGCCCCTTCACTCAGATCAGACGTGGGCACCAAAGGATATCGTGCATGTAGGGGCAGTTCTCGGCCCTGGCACAAAATCCGGTGATGTAAAACTTGCACAGTTCTCGCTTCTTTGGTAGCTCGATGTCATGGCTAAAATTACAGTGGTCTCCCTGGAGAAGCAACGGGGAAGTCAGGCTGGGCACGGTGAGCCCCTGCGTGCTCCTCCTGCAAAGAGGAGCGCTGCTCTGCGACCGCTGAGGCACAGAGGCGTCAACGACAGAACGAAGCCTCCCGCTTCCCTCCAACCATGTCTGTGCCCCCCTCTCTCAGGCCCTGCCTCCTTCCCCCACACCCCCTTTCCTCTGTCTCCCCTCCGCTGCCTTTCATGGCCTCCCTCTAACTCTTCCTATTTGCTGCATGACAGCCTGTATCCAGTCCCATGCTTCTTCCCAAAAGAACCTTGTCTGGGGAAGAATGTGCCCAACTAAAAATACTCCATTTCCCAGCTTCCCTTAAAGTTCCAGCAATAAGTATAGGCAAAACTCCCCAGGGACAACAACAGTGACTCAATTTTTTAGAAATTTCCTCCACCCATTTTTCTTTCTCTTAGCCCTTAGATGTGATGTCTGGAGGAATGGCAGCTGTTGCGCAACCATGAGGAAAAAAGCCACATGCTTAAAAATGGCAGAATAAACCCCGGCAGGAGCCTGGGTTCCCCGGGTGCCACTGGCCCTGTGCTGCCTATCAGCCCCAGACCCCGTCCTGAGGGATAAGCATTTGCGGGCTTAAGCCAGTGGAGTTGCATTTTCATCACTTGCAGTTGGACACAATTCAAACAATACAACACCCACGTGAATGGCTACTCATTTCTCTTTGTCTATATGTATTATAAATTTCTAAAAATAGTACGAATTGTGACTGTAATAAGGAATATTTTATATCCACATGCACACTTGTTTGAAATACATATTGTTTTCTAAGATATATACATAGGTGCAGTATTCCCTGAGTACATGTCTCCCAATACCTATCCACCGCCACTAGTAAGAGTAAGAAGCTACCTGACTGAACCACATTGGGTCACACTGTCTCCTACAGAATTTTGTGGTCACTGGTCCCTCTTGTGGCCTTAAATTCTGCTGTGAAGTTCAAGGCTGGCCTGATTTCCACCCCTCCTTTTCTATAAATGTCTTCATAATTCCTTTTCCAACGTTAAAGCTCAGTAACTAACAAGAGCATGTTACGTTTCTGCATTAGCATCAACCCCAGTATGACAAAATTTGAAGCCATGGTTGAAAACTTTGGCCAAAAAAATTTCCCCCAAACCAGAAAACCCCGGGTATGTCATGGTGCCCCGGTCCCTCAGTCCCTCTGAGAAGGTAACTGAGCCACTGGGCCCCGCAGGCACCTCTTCCAGTCAACCGCCCCTCCCGCCCCAAGCTCACCCCAGGAGCGTGCCCAGCCCGCGGACCCCGAGAGGCCACTGCCCGGCTCCAGGCACCAGGCCCCCTGGTCCCTTACCCATGTGCACCGCCCCTCCACGAAGTATTTGCAGATGACTTTGCCTTTCTTGTCGGACTGCTGGTGGGGCTTGTCATGGTCGCTCCTCCGGTAGCTTCCACCGCCATCCTGTTAGGGGCACCAAGCGTGAATGTAAAGGGAAATGAAAAGGGGGGGACAGTGAGGGCCCTGGGTGGGCCAGGCAGAGACAATCTCTGAGTGAGTGAGAGTGGGCTGGCGGGGATGACAGAAACGTCTTCATGTCAGCGGCCAGCCAGTTACGCCCGACACCGAGGCCATGGGGGGTCCGGGCCGTACAACATGCAGCGCCAGCACCGGACAAGAACATCTCCGGCCCTTGGAGCTGCCGGCAACGGCTCATGCCCCGCACACTGTGCAGGACCGCGCCCGCCTCCCAGAGGCAGGGGTACTTCCTAACACCCCAGGGCTGCCTGGGCAGGTCACCCAGGACCTTCTGAACCTTACAGACTCATTACGAGTGACTGCAGGTGCTACAGAGGCATGGCTTTAAAAATAGGGTCTCAGCTGCAGCACATCCCTCAGGAGAGATGATCAGTGCTTATCAGCCCTGTGGGGAATGGCTGCTGGGCACAGGGGACAGGGTCAGCCTCAGAGGACAAATCATTACAGGAAAAAAAAAATCTAAGGAGGGGTCTCGGCTAAACACATCAGATCAGAATACAGAGTCGACTCACGCCCATGTCATCATCGTAGAAGTCTTCGTCATCGTTCATTCCGCCCTTGTTCATTCCTCCTCGGCTGCCACCTCGACCTCGGCCCCGGCCCATCCCTTTGCCTCGACCTCGGGAACCCCGGCCCCGGCCGCGATTTAACCCTGCAGAGGAGAGAGGTGGCACCGACTGCTGCTTCTCGCCAGATCCCAGCTCCAACAGCTGCCAGGAGGGGCCCCACCGACCCATCGCCTCCTGGGCCCCCTGCCCACCTCGTCCTCGGCCATCCTTGGACCGACGGTACTGGTTCAACTCCTTGGAATAGTCATCATAATCCTCGTCTCCCATTGGCTCCTCACATTCTCCATACTGGAATTTCAGAAAAGAGAAGGAAGATGTCACACAGGAAACAATGAACACTGTCCCTAACTATACATTCTGCTCCCTTTGCCTTTTTGTTTCAAGGACAACTTCAGACTCAGAAGGTCAGAGGAGCAGCCCAGGCCCCCGGCCTGAGCACTGGGTGGTCCTAATTCTTACAACACCCACCCCTGGACCAATCCATTAGGGCACCTCCATGCACAATGGGCGGCTGTGCGGCTATAACAAAGAAGGCACACAAAGGTCTCTGCAGGGACAGAACAGGCAGTGCGGCAGCTCTCCTCTGAGAGGATAGTGTGCGTGCGCGTGTGTGCACACAGGCAGGTGAATAAACGAGCACCCGACTGCAAAGGCCCAAACATTTCAGGACACGCTCAGGAACCCTGTCTCCAGGGCGGGGAACTAAGTCGCCAGGATAGCAGTGGGAAGATGATGTCATTGTCACAGTTCACCCTTCAGTATCTTTTCAAGTTGAACCTTCATATGAAGGTTTTCTCAATTCCAAAATCATACATGAACATTTAAAACATGTAAACCTGCCACCTCATGTCTTGTTTCCTCCTATGTCTTACAGGCCACCCCCCAAAGCTCACACAGCCCACTAGCCACTCCCCACCCCTGGGCGGGAGAAAACCTTACATCCATGTCGTCCTCATAAAAGTCATCTTCGTCCTCCGGGTGGTCTCCCATGGAGCCCCTGCCCCTGCCTCGGCCGCCCCGGCCCATGCCTCGGCCTCGAGACCCTCCGCGGCTTCCTCGGCCCCGGTAGCCCCTGCCGCGGCCTCGGCTGCCTGCATAGTGATTCAGAAAGTGAGCGTCTGAGCAGGAGAAGACCCCACCACCGAGAGACATTAACCCATCGTTTGCCCCTGAGGTCATTGATTTCATCCTGATTCTCCTGCTCAAGAAGCCTTCCCAGCTGCCCCGGGCAGACTATCAGCCCCCCGGTCCCCTGGATGTGGGTGCCGCAGCACTGCGGGCCTGTGGCTGCTCCAGTACGCCCTTCCCACTGTCCGACGCGGCAGCCACCAGCCACATGTGGCCTCTGAGCACCCGAAACGCAGCTCCCAAACTAAGAGGGGCTCTAAGTACAAGCGCATCTGGATTTCAAAGACTTTTTTTTTTTTAAAGGAATGTAAAATATCACATCTGCCTATTTTGCTTATGTGTTGAAATAAGATTTAGAATGTATTAGGTGGATAAAATATACTGTTAAAATTAATGTCATCTGTTTGCTTTTACTTTTTAATGTGACTACTAGGAAAGTTCCAATTAATGGTGGCTTACGTTCTCCCTCCACCGAACAGTGCTAGCCTAGAATCTCCCCAGAGGGCAGGGCCTGCCCAGGGAGGTGTCCAGGAAAGACTGTGGAAAGAAGGGCTGAGCACCCACTCCTATGACAAGCTGGGCCCCAGGTGGGGCTGAGCTGGAAGGTTCTGAAAGCGCCCTTGAGGTGGGAAATCTCACTGGCAGGAGACAGTCCCGAGGCCAGGCCGGGTCTCATGCGCTCTGCCCTCCCCGTCATTGTCGTAACTGCCGCAGTTCAAGGTTCAGGGGTGCGGCAGGCCCGCAGGCTGCAGTCACACCTCGTGTGGTGCTAAGAGCTGAGAGGGTGGGGGAGGAGGCTACTAGAGGCTGGGTCAGCCAGCTCTGGATCCCCGTGGCCCAGATGTGCTGCTCTCACATGGTGACTCCCGCAGACCGCCCCTTCTGTCCTTCGCTCAGCCCCGAATGACCGCCCGCCTCTTCCCCGGGGCGGGGTGTGAGGCTCGGTGAGCATGGAGCCAGCCAGGCCTGACTGGCGCTGCACCGCCCCTCCAGCCCCAGCACCAGGTCCGCTCAGACAGCCTGGAGGAGAGAAGTTGCGGGCCTCACCTCGGCCCCGGCTGCTGCCCTCCTTGGCACGCCGGTACTGGTTCAGCTCTTTGGTGAAGTCGTCATAGTCCTCCTTGCCCAGGTCCTCCTCCTCGTCGCCTTCATACTCCCCGTACTGCTCGTTCTCGTAGTCTTCGTACATGCTGTAGCCTTTGCTGTCCATCTTAGAGTAGGACTTCTTGGGCATGGACGTGGTGTGCGACGGGGGGTACTGCTGGTGGGACTGACCAGGAGAGGACGGTGAGCCGGCCCTGGGGCCGTGCGTGCAGGCCATCAAGATCCCCTCTGTTCCCTGAACTGACACATCTGTCTGCGTGCCTCGGCTGTCCCAGGGGGAGACGCCAGCCCCCAGCCGCTCTGGGGACCGGTTCCCACCTGAGATCTGGGCAGTAGGCCCCTATGTTTCTATTCTTCAGAGGGGACCTGGGCTCAAAAGAAAATTGACACACACAGACCCCATGATCCTTGAAAACCAGGAAGAAAAGGAAAGGGGCTCTTTCCCAAGGATACAGAGCAATCTCATCTGGGAGGGGGCCTGGCAGGCAAGAGGGATGCTTCTCAGTCAAAATTTTCTGGGGCCTTGGAATTCAATGAATGACTTGCTTGGCAACCCAACTAGAAAGCCATTTTATTTTATTTATTTATTTTTAGTGAGGGGGAAGGAAGGGAGAAAGAGGAGGAGAGACATCGATCTGTTATTGTTGCCTCTCATAAGCACCCCAACTGGGGACCAAACCTGCCACCCAGGCATGTGCCTTGACTGGGAATTGAACCAGTGACTTTTTGCTTCAGGGAAGACGCCCAGTCAATTGAACCTCACTGGTCAGGGCTGGAAAGCCATTTTAAATGATACTTTCCGAAACGTGCTAGTGCCAAGAGATACTGGATGAAGTTAAATATATATAAATGGAAGCCATTGAAATGTCCTTAGGCTGTGAAGAGATAAACAAACTGTGGTACGTCTAGAGAATGGGGTATTTATTATTCAGCAATTAAAAGAAATGAGCTGTTTGCTAACTGAAAAGAGCCAACCTGAAAAGGCTACATACTGCAGGAGCCCAATTCTATGACATTCTGGAAACGGCTAAACTACAGCGACAGTAAAAAGGCTGGTGGTTGCCAGAAGCTTGAGGGAAGGAGGGCAAGTAAGTAAAGCAGGGGGGATTCTTAGGGAATTGAAACTATTTCATAGGACAGTGTATGGTGAGTATGTAACTTTGCACTTGTCAAAACCCAAGAACTGTAAAACCCTAATGTAAAGGTATATGGACTCTAATAATAATGTGTCAATATTGGCTCATCAATTATAGCAGATGTACCACTTTAATGCAAGTTGTTAACAGGAGAAAAGGGCTGGGGTGCAGGGAGGGAACTGTACTCTCCGCTCGATATTTTATAAACCTAAAACTGCTCTAAAAAGTAGTCTATTAACTTAAAAATAATCCACACTCATTATAAAAAAAGAGAGAAAATACAAAACACAGGTAGACGGACACACACACAACTTCATTAGCCTCAACGCCCAGTTCCCAATTAAAGGTCATAGCACTGCCTCTCTTCCCAGCCTCCCTCAGGTTTAAAGTCTGAATCTACGTTTGTAGATCAGTGTCAACTGTATTTTACAATAAATTTATCTGTAATGATGGATGATGCTGAGTCATACGCTGCCCAGGACATATTTAAGAGCTACTTGCTTTAAAAGCATTTTTTATCAAAACTTGAAAATCTATGTTGTTTTTTTCTTGTCAGTTTTGCTGGAAGAAATAGTGTACAAACTGAACAAACAATTTAACTTCATGTTTAAGGTCAGAGCTACAATATAATTTACTCTTGTAACCATTTTATTCTCTTGCCAACATTCCACAAAAGTCATTTCCGAACAGTGGAAAACAGCTATGACAGGGATAGGTCAGCGTCTCTCCTGGGGACAGGAGACACAGGCCAAGGCCACGGGGAGGTGGCCCCCAGAAGCACAGACAGCGGCTTCACAGAGAACAGCCGCGCACGGGGCCCAAACCTGCGCTTCAGAGCCGCGCCACCTGGTGGAAGTTTTCTGAGCCGCAGTGTCCCCGCCTGTGGGGTGGGGATAGAGACACCGCCTAACCCTGCAGGATTAAAATCGGCCTCAGGTGCCACACAAGAATGCCCAGCCCAGGGTCAAGTGCTCAGCCAACAGGGAAGTCTTACTCCGCGGGGCCCCGGCCCTGCAGCCACTCACCGGCGCGTACGGGGGGCTGTACTCTCTGTACTTGCGGTGCCCCTTCTCGCTGGGGCTGAAATCCGAGTCGTCGGAGAAGTCAGAGAAGTCATCGCTGGAGGACGCATGGCGCTGCAACGACAGGAGGAGTGGACTCAGGGACTCTGAGAAAGGCAGGCCACGCTGGCAGAGCCCGCTGGGACAAGCACTGCTGGATTGTGCCAGAAGGGCTCTGCGCTCTCCAGGAAACACCTCACCTAGGGGCATTTAGTAGCAATGGAGCATGAGCTACCAACTTTTAAAAAAGGTCTTTAACCAATTTGGGGAAGGAAAAACAAGACCATTAAGAGTGCTCCTTGACCTGCCAAGGCAACATGGGCCCCCGGGGCTGTTGGGCAGTCTCGAGGCCAGGCCCAGGGCTGGGAACCCTGCAGACCTACTTTGTGCTTAGATTTCCTCCTCTTCTTCGATCTCCTCTTCTCTTTCTCTCGCTCTTTCTTCCTCTTCCGCTTCAGCCTCCTGTGAGACTTCTCCTCATCTGAATCGCTATGGTGCTTTTCCCCCTTTTCTTTCCGGCTCCTCTCGGGCCCCCCCGAGGTGTCCTGGGTCTCCTCTGCTCCGTCATCTTCCAGTTCACCTTCTTCCAACTCACCATCTTCCCTACAAACCAACCCCGAAACCAACATGAACACAGGCTTGCGAGGAGGCCGCCGAGGGCCGCGGGTCGGCCAAGGCTGATGGGAACCAAGGGCCCGGCCGCTGTGAACAAGACCTGTAACCCCCACCAGAGGCCCTGGGGGGACGTAGGGCCAACTGCCTCCTGTCCGACCCCTGCTCTCCTCCCAAAGGACTGCATCTGTTGCCAGCTACCCTGCTAGGGGCCGGGGGAGGGGACAGGGACCGACCCTGCTGGAACAGGATATCCCCGACTGTTCCCTGGGACTAGAACTCTAAGAAGGAAAGCGAAGAGCCTCTGTGGTCAAAGGAGTTGAGGGACTTCCCCAACTGGGGAACCACAGTGCTTAATGCTGGAGCAGAAGCTCCCAGAAGCTTTACAGTCAAGAAACCTGTACAAGTCGGCCGCAGGGCCCTTCTGAAACTCACTGGACCACAGACACTGGCTGCGTCTTGTGGGGGAGGCGGACCAGCACCCCTCCCAGTGCACACGGCCTGGGCTCCCCGCTCAGCCCAGACCTATGCATGTGTCCTGTGAGCTGAGTGTGGTGGCTGTGCCTAGCGGAGAGAAGGCCACAGTTCTGAAGCAGGGGTGGCCCCCCAGTCCCTGCACCCCACCCACAAGCAGGCCTGAGGACACAGAAGCCCCGCCAGACCCACCAGTGAATAGACCCTGGCGTCTGACCCGCACCATCAACTCCATGGCTCTGGGCTGGAGGCAGGGGGCACTGAGTGGCTAAAAGGGGCGAGGAGGAGGATCCTAGGCTCCAGATCCCTCTTGCAGTCCTCACATCACAGCACCCAGAGTGCCTGGGTCAGCCCCACCTGCCGCTCGCCCTCTTGCTCCCAACCTGACCTGCCTCACCTCTGGGTAGCCCTTCTGGCTCCTGAGCCTGGATTTTCTGACTTTGTCAACTCCCGTAAGTATTGCCCCAACCCCTAGTTCTTAAAAAACAAAGCCCTCTCCCACCACGGCAGAGGCTGCCAACAGGACCCTAAATAGCTAAGTATCTATGGGAAGGGGTGGGGTAGGGTGGGGTAAGGAGACAAACAGGGTTAAGAAAGGAGCAGCTGAGAAGAGAACCCAATTTTTCAGCCAAACCCACAGACAGAGTTTTCACAAGTACAAGAGCTGGTTTTAAAAGTAAGTAAATAAAAATTTAAAATAATTTAAAACACTTCCAAAGTTCCTCCCGCATGACAATGTGTAAGGGCATAAAAAAATGCTTTATCAATTAACGAGGACCCCAACAGAAGGAAGATAACAAAGGGTGAAGTGATAAACCCAGGACCCAAAAGGCTGTTAATAAAGGGAACTGATCTAGACAGGAAGGCCTGGGCTGCTCAAACGGGCTGCGGTCGGCGTGAGGGGAGCTCGCCAGGCAGCCACGTGGGAGCCCCCGGCTCCAGCAGGCCGTGTGGGGAAACAACAGACTGGCCACTTCTCTGAGGGTCCTCAGGTGCCGCTCCCTAAATGCCAAGACCTCTGAGAGGAGCCGAGCAAACTTTCATTGACTCTCATTCCCAATTCAAAGGGGTCGGATCAGCTTAAAACCCAAGAGGTCCAGCCCCAAGATCCCCCAGCAGAGGTCATGGCCAGCTCTCAAATCCAGAACGCGGGATACAAAACTCTTGATGTTTCAAAGGAAAAAATAGAGAGGTGACCGATGTGCGTCTCGTGTTGTTTACTTGCAAATGGCCAGGTTGTCCCGGGCTGGCCTCACAGGAAGACGCCCAGCAAACTTTGGAGAAGGCAGCATTCCTGACAAGTGAGGCGCCTTCCGGTTTGGGTGCGGCCCACAGAACCAGGGGCGGCACCGTGCAAAGTTCTCATGGGACGAAGGCAATTCTGCTGAAATGGCCTCACCCACAATAAAAGTGCCACCTGACTGGGGGAACTGGTTTGAGTGAGCTCGCCAGTCCAAGGGAGAAGCTGTTACTCGCTGGTATGGCAAATCCCTACTGCCTGGAGTCATAGAAGACACCGGCAGTGTGGTTACTGGAGACAAGATGTGTGCCCCTGGGGGGAACACTGGGGCGGGCCAGGGGGCCACACCTCAGGAGAAATGCCAGGAGAGGGGGGCAGACTAAGACAGACAGACACTGGGGAAGGCCCAGAGACAGATCAGAGGGGTAGAGGCTGGTATCCATGAAGAAAAGCTATAAAGAGCATCACTCTAAACACTGTTCTGGAGAGGAAAAAGCTGCGAGGGACATCCTCTCAGAATCCCAGGACAGCCCTGGCTGCTGTGGCTCCGTGGACTGAGCACCAGCCTGCAAACCAAAGGGTCGCTGGTTCGATTCCCAGTCAGGGCTCAGGCCTGGGTTGCTGGCCAGGCACCCAGTAGGGGGCGCGCGAGGGGCAACCACACACTGATGTTTCTCTCCCTCTCTCCCTCCCTTCCTCTCTAAAAATACATAAATAAAATCTTAAAAAAAGAATCCCCAGACACGGGATAGGGTGGAAAGAACACAGGGTGGCAGGAACTGCCCAGGCTCCCAGCAGTCCAGATGAACAACATAAAGCCCAAGACTGCCAACAGCAAAAGGCCCTCCTGGAGCCAGGAGAAGCCTGCCAGAACAGAAGGGACAGTGCCACCACCCTGTCATTTCAACATGACGGACAAATGTGAGGGGGCTAGTCAAGGTCAGATAGCCAGGAGTGACATTAAAAAAAGCCAGAACTGACTTGTTTGCCAACTCTAGGCCCACGGCTCTTCCTAATCGATGAGGACAGGGAGAAAAAGGGAAGCGGGGAGCCCACGTATCCACTGCCTACTTGAGGCCACAAACATTTCTGAGCATCTTCTCTGTGCCGGGTTCTTGTGCACCTCCTTTTCTGCACTGTCCTTGTAGGAAAAGATACAAATGACCAGAAATCCAGTTCCCACGGCAGCTGCCGTGATACAGGGCTCAGACAGCTGAGCCGGGGTGACTGGCACCCCGACACTCCCTCCCTTGCGCCCACTCTTGGGCAAGAACCCCACGGCATGGCAGGAGAAGGCCTTGCCCAGTGTCCACGGAGGCCCCCACCCCTGTCCTGCCACGGCACGCTGGTGTGGGCCAACGCACAGGCCGCTTACATCTAACACCTGGGGGCAGGACCGCAAAAGCCCATCCAAGCAACTCAATGCCTTCATCATCAAGAATGACTGCAGAAGAAAGCCCTTCACTCCAGAGGATATCAAGACAGGTCCACCCCACAAAGATTTTCAACCAAAGAGGGGTTTTCTCTGCATGACCTCTATTAACAGCCCCATTACATCTGGGCTCAGTGAGAACCTACCATATGGCTTTTCCCACAACTTTCTACAAAAGGGCTAGTGAATACTTGAAACTTTGTTTCCTTAGAGTTGAGAGAATTAAATGGGTTAAAACAAACAAACAAAAAAAAACCCCTCTTGATGATTTATGAAGGGGAACAGGATACTGGAGGGGACACTGGGAAGGTGACATTCGACTGACCACTGTGCATTCTCAGTGGCATCTGGCCACGCCGTGCTCTCAAACTCCTCGGAGCCCTGGGCCAACCTCTGGTCAACTGAGAGGGTGCCCTCTGCGGCCACTGGGGAGTCCCAGCTAAATGTCCAGGGTCTATTTTCTTCAGACTCTTTTCAACAGAAAGAAAAGCCAACCAACTGGGACGGAGGATAGAAGCCCTGCGGGCCACGGGCACGACTGCAGAGGTGGCCTCCCCGAAACAGCAACCAGGTTTAAGCGGCGCCACTTCACAGGCTGCCAGCAAAATCCATGTCAGAGCGGGATTAAATACCAAGGGAGCACGCTTAACAGACTGTGACATAATCCCCCAAGAAAAGTGGGGGAAGCCCCACTGCGCTAATCATTTCAATCAAGACCCGCCAAGCCCTCTGGAGAGCAGCAGGCGGGGGAAACTCTGCAGCACCGGCCTGGGGAGAGACCGCCTGATTCCCGCGGCAGCACCCTGACACTCTCTCACTCCCTCCCGATGGGCCAGAGCCCTGGGGCAGGGAACCACCCACGCGGGAGACCAGCTTGGAACAGGCGGCTGGGGAGGAACTGGGAGGCGGCCAGCATCTCGCCTCGAGTCAGCTCTGCCTTTCTCCTCCTGAGCTAAGCTTCTGGGGCATTCATGTTTCCATTCGCAGAGATGGTGACAGCCAGCTCCTCCTCTCGGGTCAAAGAATGGGATCTGAGTGCCCATTCTTAGGAATGCCTATTCAGCCAGCTCCACAGGACACAGAAGCATGCTGGGCTCATCGCATACCAGGGGCGTAACAAAAACAGCACTTTTAACACATTTTGAAGTAGGCTGGTCCCGCCCACCAGCCTACAGGGTTGGGCATCTGGCTTCTTCCTGCAGACCAAGTAACACAACCAGCTCTCCCTCTTCCCTGTGTGCTCCCGGTGCACAGGGCTGCAGCCCTGGTTTTCTCATCTGCCAAATGGGTAACTGCAGCACCCGCTTCAAGGGCGTGCGAGGGCTGAAGGCGGTAACGTGGATGAAGTCCTTGACATGGGGGCAGGCACAGAGTTAGTACCAAACAATAGCTGCTGGTTTTAAGAACCAGCTAGCATGAGTGTGCCTCTGCACAGACAGCCCTGAATTACTGGCTGAATGCTCCCCGGGAAGCATTTTCTCTAATGAAAACCTAAAGCCCGCTTCCCTTAGGGACCACCAACAAGGTCTCACTTCTCTTGATCCAACTGTGCAGGCACCGGCTGCTCCCAACAAATCCTGCTGAAACCGACAAATGGGCATCTCCCCTTTCTCAGCTCTAATCTAAGTGGTACCAGAAAACAACCAAGTGGCTGACCACTGGGAGAGCTGAACCCCAGGGAAAAGGAACAGACGTGCCTGAGAGAAAAAGCTTGATGACACGGAAATTCTCTAGACAAGAGGTGGATGGAAGCTCAAAGGGGCCTGGGTTTGTGGATCCACCTGGTTTACAAGAAAAAACAAGAAAATAAAATAAAGGGGGAAAAAAGGAGAAAATAACAAAGAA